GCTTCAGGAAGAGAGGGAAACTCTCTAAAGCGTGTCTTTAAAATAGTCCAATAAAAAATAAGAATCATTGCATACTGCAATACTCTGGTATTTTGGCATTATAAATAAATATCAAGGAAGGTGCACTCACAGGGCTTTGCACAATAAAAATTAAAGATTTATTTACAATCATACACCAGAAAATGTGACGTTTCAGTCCTCTATGGGGCTGTTCTCAAGACCTAGAGAAAATCCCATAGAGAACTGAAACGTCAACACATTTTATGGTGTATGATTGCACAATAAAGCTTCAAAATGTATCTACATGGTCCTGTAAGTGCAACTTCCTTGATATTTATATTTTGACATAAGTGATTTGCACCCAGGCAAGGACAAGACCGGGAGAGTGAGTGCTGGATCCACGTGCATTTATAATTTATATATATATATATATATATGTGTGTGTGATTGTAAAAATATTTTTTACTTAAGTTTAAATACAAAGTAATCACATATGATTTCAAGAAACTCACTCTCTTCCTAGATGTATTTTGTATAATTCAAAGGGACAGTAAAAACAAAGGTTTGTTCAAACAAAAGACTTCATTAGGTGACACCACATGAAGGGATTAACAAGAATTAGATGACATTGTTCAAGTAATCCCAGTGATCAAGATCAAATCTAGAAATGAAAAGAGGTTTTAAGGATGAAACATTTCATGTGAACAATAGATGAGAACGTTATTAGGTTAAAAATAAATAATTTGGACGGAGAGCGAGCCACATACATAAAATTAAACCCCGAGATACAGCCGAAACACGGCTGCCAGACGGAATCCAGCGAGCGTTCAAAGAATTCTACACAGATCTATACAACATCCCCGAGCCCACTAAAGACACAGCCCAAACACAGCGTCTTCACCGAATTTCGGAATTCTTGGAACGAAACGTAGACATGAAGTTAACCGCTGAAATGAAGGAAGACCAAGAACAACCCATCTCGGTAGAGGAACTAGTAGCGGCTCTAAAACTCTCCAAAACCCACAGAGCACCAGGGCCAGACGGCCTGCCTTTGATATACTTGCGCACATTCCGAGACATTCTATTACCGAACCTCCTGCGAGGACTCAACTCCATACTAGAAGGGGGCCGTTTCCCCACGGACTCTCTGGCGGCTATAGTTATGGTGATACCTAAGGAGGGCAAGGACCCGACGAACTGTACGAGCTACCGCCCCATATCATTGCTGAACGCAGACCTGAAGCTATTTGCAAAAACCATTGCCTTGAGAGTCGCGAGACACCTCCCCCACCTGGTACACTCAGACCAGGTTGGGTTTATCCCTGGTAGAGAGGGGAGGGATAACACAATCAAAGCACTAAACATCTTACACATAGCGAGGACACGTAGAAAGGAACATCTGCTATTGTCAACGGACGTTGAAAAGGCTTTTGACCAGGTAGACTGGAAATATCTGGAGAACACACTCGCATACATGGGATTCAGCCCCCACATGCTGTCATGGGTGCTCTCCCTGTACACGAGTCCCACGGCTCGGATCCGCATTAATGGGGCACTGTCTGCCCCTTTCCCGATCTGAAACGGCACCCGCCAGGGCTGCCCACTGTCCCCCCTCCTGTTTGCCCTCTCCCTGGAACCGTTCCTGGTGGCGGTCAGACGGAACGGGGGAATCACAGGATTCAGCGTTGGTCGTAACTAGTGATGTCCTGAACGGTTCGCCGCGAACAGTTCGCCACGGACTCCAGTCAGCAGACACATTCCAGACAATCAGCAGCAGACCCTCCCTCCCAGACCCTCCCACCTCCTGGACAGCATCCATTTTGAAGCTGCATTCTTAGTGAGCTGTCCAGGAGGCGGGAGGGTCTGGGAGGGAGGGTCTGCTGCTGATTGGCTGGAATGTGTCTGCTGACTGGAGTCCGCAGCGAACCGTTCGCGAACCGTTCGCGAACCGTTCAGAACATCACTAGTCATAACGAATACAGAGTAGCCGCGTACGCGGACGACATGCTGTTCTTTCTTACACAGCCGCTGCTTTCGTTATCCAACCTTCTCGTGTCTTTCTAACCTTATGCTCAACACTGATAAGTCTGAGGCCCTCCATCTACCGCCCCTCAAAGACCCCCCAACACACCTCTATACCCAGTACCGATTCAAGTAGTGCAATACCAAACTGAAGTATTTGGGTATATGGTTACCCAAGGACCCATCTCAACTATACCACCATAACTATCTCCCGCTACTACAATCACTGCAGGCAGACCTTAAAAAATGGTCCCCACACTACATTTCATGGTTTGGGCGTATCAATGCGGTCAAAATGAACGTGTTGCCCAGAATACTCTACCTATTCCAGACAGTGCGATCACAGTGCCCAGAGCCTTCTTCAGCTCCATAACGACCGCCATCCGCCGGTTTGTTTGGAACTCTCGCCCTACCCGCACCATGAAAACCACCCTAGAACTGCCTAAACAAATGGGAGGTTACGGGACTACCCTCCATAGAGACGTACTATCGCGCCACACATTTGTATAGACTAACGGACTTGCACGTACAACATCCTTTGAAACAGTGGGTGGCCTTGGAACTAGAGCAGACAGATAGGAAAATACCCTCCAGACTGTGGCTGCACACCGCCACGTACACAGACCTACATACCAAAAAAACCCTGGTCGATGCCACACTGAGAGTCTGGATAGCTACACGCTACCGACTACAGCTTACCACCTCACCTAGCCCCCTAACACCCATCATGCACAACCCAGACCTTGCAGATGCCCTAACCCATAATGACCTATCTGGCCTCCAACCATCCGACTGGATGTACCTGCACCAATGGTTTGGCCCACAAGGACTTAAACCACTCAGAAACCTTTGCCCAGTCAGACCGCCAACGCTGCTTGAACAGTTTTGCTACCAGCAGATAAAAACATACTTCCAATCCCTACCGGGACGTGGGCACCTGCTCAGACCCCTTACCAGCTTTGAACTCCTGTGCGTACACTGACCACACATTCCCAGGGGTATCTCAACCCTATACGCCACACTCCAGACCCAGACCAGTGGGGATGTGGTGCTCCGATTCAAGGACCACTGGGAGAAAGACACGGGGGGGTCCCTTTTCGCACAGGAATGGGACAAGATTTACACCCTCACACACAAATGCTCTATCAGTTCGAAGTACCAAGAACTGAACTACAAAATATTAACTCGATGGTACAGAACACCCGACACTCTACACCGCATGCAAGAGAACACTCCGGACACATGCTGGAGATGTGGCACGCCCCCCGGCACATACTTCCACATGTGGTGGACATGCCCCGCAATCACCCCATACTGGGAGAAAATCAGGGGGGAGATACACAGGCTTAGAGTTGCCTCTAAAACCCCTAACGATACTACTACACCACACCCCCACTCCCCTGAAGACATATAAGAAGTCCATAACACTACCACTACTCAATGCAGCCAAGTCCCTTATCCCCGTCATATGGAAACAGAAGGGAGCACCCACACTCCAGCAATGGGTGACAAAGGTGGAAGAAATACACTCAATGGAAACTTTAACGGCAGATCATGGGAGACAGGAGCAGTGTGCATTGACCTGGTATCCATGGGCTACATACCTAGCCAAAAGATTAGCCACCCCGCACACAACACCACAGGGGCCATCAGAAGCCCAGAGCACACATACCTAAACCCCCCATCTAACCCTTACCCCTTGTGTCGACATGTCCCACCCCTCCCCTACCCCATGACCGGACCTCGGACTGTCCCCCTAACAACCAACACAGACAGTAGAGGGATTACATATTCACGCGGACAGACCCACAATAGGGACATGATCCATACCTGGATAGGACGGGAAGCACTCAACAGTTGGATAAAACTAGACAGAAACACGTTACCAACACCGAAACAGGAAAGCGCACCAGCATGAGAGACGTAAGCCCAGACCCCAGCACAATCGGTAGATAGAGAGACAGCGGCAGAATGGAATAGCCCCTGGGGTGGAAACCTGACTGGACCCGAAACAAACGCATAGACTCCCACACCAGCAACCCTTCGAGCTACGGCACTGACAGACACCCGGACATATCCCCCATGACCTATAAGCCCAGTTTAATGACTGCCAGCAATAAGAGCCCGAAGAGCCTATACGCCCTAGTCCGTAGGCCTCACAATGGTTAAACAACTGAGAAAAAGCCATATGACCACGAATAGTAGATCATAGATTCCTAAGAAGTTCGCTATGACTGTAGATTACATACCATAACCGCAATTGTAGTTCACCCGATATTGATATTAAAAGGGCTCATAAAAATTAAAAATAAGTTCGTGACTACAACTAACACACAAGTGGAGAACCGATGTACTGTCGCCTAACACAGATGGATAGGGCGCACAGTCGGGAAAACATGGTGGGGAGACGACCAAAAACACCAATACAGCAGAGGTCACTCTATATCCTTCCTAGCTACCCGACAAGGCTGCAGCCGCAGGCCTGAACTCAAGCTGGTACACTGGGTAGAGCCAACTGTTAGAAGTGCACGGGTTAGCCGTACAGTTCACTTTCTTCCCTTATTTGCTTTATTCAAATGTTGACTCTGATACAGATACATTGTAATGCTACTGACTGTTACTTGTCTCTTCAAATGAAAAAGATACTAAATAAAGATTGTCAAAAAAATAAATAAATAATATATAATAAATAATTCCTAGAAAGTTAAAATATGAATAAACATAATGGAATATCTAAGTGCAAACTGACAAAGAGTTGGCAGAGCATCAGTAGAAAGCATTACTTGGTACATAGTGGCAGCTCTTATCACTCTTATTATACATGTATAGTTTACAGCAGGAATGCACAAAAAATAGATCCCCAGATGATGTAGAACTA